GCCTATACGGGGGTGCCCAGCACAACCAGCCCACACTCTTCCAGAACGTAATGCGCCGATTGATGTCGATGGAATAGCACGCATCGAAAACTACCCGCACCTAACTGGATGCCGCTCCGTTGAGCCCTGTGCCAGGGTTGCCATGACCATGGCAAAGCAACCCGTAACACGAGCACGAGCTGAGTGACATCCTTTATATCCTTTCCACGAGGCCTTTGGCTACATCTCCATTAACGGTTGACATGCACTCCTTCGAAGATGCATAGTGTTCCGCAATCTGCCCTGTAGCCGTGGCATCTTTTGTGACCTCGCGATTCTATTTGCACGCTTTTGCCAACGCACAGTTGACACCACCCTGGTGTCCCACCCTGAGTTCGGGCGACCGTCGCGGTGCCGCTTGGCCGTTCTCGGAATCGAGGTTAGCGGGCGCTGGAGTGCTGAGAAGCTGCCAACTTCGTCCGGTTGTTGGCTGAAAGCTTGAGCACGCACGGCTTTCACTCTGCGGAACCGAGTCACTCCCCCTTGCTGCCCGCATGGCGTAGTGTGTGTGTGTGTGTCAGCACCGCGCCGCCGGAGCCCTCGTTGCACGGGGACCGCGCAGATGGTCGCAAAACGGTGTGTGGGGGAAAAAATAATGTTTTGGCTTTTCGCTCTTCAGGTTTTCGAGTTTCCCCTGAGCTGGCCCCTGTGGAACTTCTAGATTTTAGATGCTGCCTTCGGAAACGCAGCAAAGTTGAAATTCGCCCGTGAGCACCATCAACCCTCGTTTAGCACGCCAAAACTCGCGCTGGCCCGAACCATCTCGCAATCCTCATCCGCAGGGAGTCTACGGCAGTGTTGGCAGCTTTGTCCGCGGGGTGCTGACATCGTCGAAACTGAGTCACGGCACGGGGTCTCGAATTACTCGCTCGACGACCAGAGATGCGCTATCCTAGCTGTAGCCACTGGCTGTTTCTCAGTGCCCCGGAAGGGGTAGTGAAGCCGGAATGTCGGCGCATTTGGGCATCGAAATCTACGGCAACAATCCTGGCCAGCAGTGTTAGTGGAGAGGGTATTCCGCATCACCAACTCACTCGACACGACAATGCATCTCGTTCCGGCCAAGGGCACACCAGAAAATGTCGGGCTCCGCTCGAGTCCATCGCATGACGCGAGAGTACATTGCGCCTGCGTGATCTAAACCTGCTACAATGACGCCGTTGCGACATGCCCGGGCTCCCTGGTGCACCGCGGTGATCATGCCAGCCGCTGCAACACAGGCTTCGCACCTAGCCCCCGGCTTCGGCGTATTGGGGTTGCGCTCTGCAGCTGTTGATCGCCATGCTGCCTACTGGGCTTCATGGCTCGACTCCTTGCCAGCGATCCAGGCAGGCTCCCCGCAGATTGCTTTTCACCTCCGCCGTGCGCTCGCAGCCCCTCGTGCCCGTGGCTCCATTGCGGCTGCAGCACAAGCCGCGAGCCACCTCGCGGCGCAGTGTTGCCACATCCCCGCTTGGGATGCCTCCGAGCCCCCGCCCAGCGCCCAAGGAAACTGGAGCCCAGCCCAGCAACCGCCTGCGCGGCTGGCAGCAGCACGTCGTTCGGGCGCGTTCGAGATGCAGTTCGCCACCTTGCCGGCCGCGTCTCGGGCGCTGCTGGGTCGCACGCCGCTTGCTGGTGCACGGTCTCCGCCACGCATCCAGCTCTGTCGCAGAGTTCCGAGTGCTCTTGCTGCGCCGCCGCGCTTGCCGCTCCCGCTCGCCTCTCGAGTCTGTGCATGCCGTGGGCTGCTTGACCCGCTGGGTGACCATCGAGCAGCCTGTGCCAACTCTGGCGCCTTAGCTTCCCGCGCCCTCCCGCTCGAGCGAGCAGTCGCCCGGGTCTGCCGAGAGGCTGGGGCACGAGTCGCTCGCAACATGCGCCTTGCCGACATGAATCTCCCAGTCCTTGTGGCCTCGCTCTCGAGTTCGAAACACGGCCCAAGCGGCGCGAAACCCAAGGCTTTGTCACGGGGCCGAGAGACGAGTGCGTTAACGACCACGTGTCATGGTCAGAGCGTGAAAATACTTTGCTTGCCAACCCGTTCATATGGTAATGAAGCACAAGGAGCAAAAAGCTACAAAAACACAAAGTAAGGTGAAGACCGGGCTACCGGACTCACGCCCTCCAAACGGCCGACCACTGACGCGAAATGGCTGCGGGGTCCGGATCTCGCGGCGCACTTTGTCCCAGGGCGTGAAGTCTCCCTCGAGGCAGTTGCCTCCGCTGCTGGCGAACCGGCTGTGAATGAAGTCCTGCAGGACGGAAGGTGGCTCGACACCCCAGCTCCCGGCCGCTTCCTCGCGCGGACTGAAGTCGCCGTATCTAGCAGGTGCACTGGGACCGCGCATGTGCTAGTCGCCAACGGTGTGCGAGAGAAGAAACAGCTTTGACGCTGGTGAAGTGCCTTCTGAGACAGAAGTAGCGAATGGCGTATCAATTTCAAGTACCGCTTCGCTCGTTCCCAAAACGCTGATATCCTCGAACTTGATTGGGAAACAAGTTCTTTGGTTCTCAGGGTATATGAACAACCATGGACCATTGCCGAGCACGGTCCGTGCCTCCTCCCCACGTGCGTGCCAGCAGCACCGCAGCGTTGGCGCAGCGCTGGTCCGGATTCCTTGCTTTTGCGGCCGCCAGGTCCTTTGCAGCCTCGCTGTTGTCGCTGCCGCTCCACAGCACCGCCAACGTCGATGGCCCTCTCCCTCACTGGATCTTCCTCACGCTGTTGCAAAAAGGTGTGCTAGAAAAAAACGACTATTCACCGAAAACATGACGTGCTCATCACTTCTTACAGGCCGCTCAGATCACAGCCCTCATAAGCCAGCGTGCCCGGCCTACAGTCCAGCTTCTTGCATCGCTGGCTCACACAAGTCTTGCTCTATCCGAGGATCACGCAAGTGAAAGACGTCCAGAAGGTAGGATCCGAGATAGGAACACGGCCGCGCAGTGTTTTGTCCGCGACCTCGTACCGCCGTGCACGCTGCTGCGTCCTCTGGCTGGGCAAGCGGTTGGTGGGGGCCATGGGAGGCCCCGTCCATGGCGGTCCAGTTCGCAGTCGCCCGCACAGCCTTTGGGGGGGCCGCGCATGGCCAGTTGCTCCACAGCTGCCGGGACGGCAGCCCAGCCGCTTGCCCCTGCGGCCCTAAAGCGGGACCGCGTAGTGACTGAGAGGTAGTAACACCTTCGTAGCAGTGCACATTCTTGCTGTCGCAAAAAATCACCAGGAAGATCTCCATCTCCTCAAGGCTGTCGCGAAAGGCGCATAAAATGCTCCAGGATGAATTCCTTGTCGTCAGGACTTCGTAACAACTTCATCTTCGCGAGCTTCTCCTCAGCTCGATCAATCACATCAGCATTCAACATTCACCACCATGGGGCTCTGGGGAGTCGGAGGAACTGGAAATCCGACTCGTCGCAAGAAGTCCCGATCATAAGGATCCAGTCCCCTCAGCGAGGGCTCCGGGAAAGAAATCATCACCCATCGCCCGCTAATCCATGATATTGTGGCGCTCCGGTAGGTTTTTCTGCAAGATTGTTTCAGACATCCATTCAAGTACTGGCAGTGAGCGGCATCATTTTCGTTGCTCGGGTTACGCCAGCCATCTTGCCAGGAGCAACAAGAAGGCGGCTGCAACTCGAATGCGCAAGCGCTCGTCCGGCAGCTAGCTCGCGTCAGGGCCCTCCGCACCCCGCCGGTTTTGCGCGCCCCTGCCTTGAGTGCTTGGCTGCTGGGGCACGACGGCGGTGGCGTGGGGTTCCTCCGCAGCCCTGCGGGGCAGGAGCTGGCCCTCGACCACGTCCTCGCGCTCGCCGAGCCGGACGGGCCGAGTCGCCTCCCGCTCCGGTCAGCGCCTCTCACTCTGACGACACCGTCCCGAATGCTTCCCGTGCTGTTGCAAGAAGGTGGCGGGAAAAAGGTCACATGATATCCCAGCTCGTCCTGGACCTCTGGCGGGTCGGGTCGCATGCTCGAGATTCTCGGCGGCGGTCTTTCTCGGTCGGGAAGGTTTCCGCCCGGGATGCTCGGCAAACGGAGTGTCGTGGATCACAACGTTGCCCGGAGAGAACGGGGCTTGAGCTTCTGCTTCACCGCAGTCTTGGGCTCGGAAATCTCCGCCGCAGTTAGGGCAATCTCCTTGTCAACGGGTCGGCATTCTCGGCATCCTCTGGAATCTCCTGCTGGATATCCGTCACACCGGAGCTCAGCCGGCCTGCCTTGCGGTACTGGGGATGAGCACCTGTCCGGATCGTTTCCCCGGTCGGTGTATCGGTCGTGTTTCGGCAGTGCCCCGGTCGTGTGCTGGTTAGTGTCTGGGACGTCGGGTTAATGCTGCTGCACCGAGACCGCGGACACTCGCAAACAGGGCGCGATACAAGTAGAAAAATACCGGTCGGTGTATCGTTCGTGTTTCGGTCCATGTCCCGGTCGTGTTACGGTTGGTGTCCCGTGTCCTGTTGTGTCGGTTTTTGTGTTGCAGGCGAACATGGTCGCATCAGGACCCAGTTCCCCCGCGAGCGGCGTCGAACTGTAGATCGCGAGATCCAGGCGAAGGCGGCGGTCGAGCTACACGGGCCGAGCCGGCTGCCGCTGCGCGGTATGTAGCCAGCTAAATGTAGTATAAGCGGTGCAGAGTAGGACGTTGTCACTGTAGACGCCCATGTCATGCGGTCGGAAACTTTGGTTCTGGGATGTTCTGGGAGGACAGTGTCGGAAAGTGTTTTTCGTGCCTGGGCAGGATCAAGGTCATGATTCGCTAAGGTAACTCTCATGCAGCTGGTGTGTGGTGTTTATGTGCGCACTCCACAGAGCAGCTTCTGTTGACCCATGCTTCTAAAGCAGCTAAGACCAAGCATTTCTGAAAGCAGAGTAATCGCACATATATTGGGTAAGTAATGGTGCGCGCTTCCGGCGCATCCGATGGCCAAGTGTGTTGGAGCCAGCTATTCCCGTGAAGGAGGTCGCCCCTATTGCCGACACCATGAACAAAGCTCGCGTGCGCCCGCTCAGTTTACATGTTTGGGCTCTGCCAGCGGCTTCCATGTTCAAGGCCATGCTGGACGCTTTGATGGGCCCTGGCCGTGACCAGATCGAAAAGGCCGGGCTGTGTCTTTTGCATTTCGTTGGCGACAAAACGGAACCTGTCCTGCAGGAGGGCAAAGGGGTCAAAGAAAAGCGTTATTCTCGGAAGTTTTTGTGCATGCAACGTGGCGAAGCAGTGCCAATCCAGGTTCAAAGATGACAGTGTGTGCAAGTCCTTTCTTGTTGGACTATGCCCACTTGATGCGTTGCTCACTTACCCATGGCACGGTGGATGACGTGCGCTGCAGAGGGAGGTTCGCTAGCATGGCAGCCTTCAGCCAGGTCCATTCTGGGTGGGAAGCGCAAATTCAAGGTGTGTGAGAAGCCTCCGTCTTGGCGAAGGGTGCATCTTTGCAACTGTTGCATTCTTAAATCTTGAAAAGCTTTATCGCTCAGCAAGGATCCATTCTGAGTTGATGAAGGCCCGTACGTGGGCCATGCTTGAGGATATAGTCTGCCAGTTTTGTTTGCAGCAAGCCGATGCAGGGAGTTTGAAAGCCCATGCGACGGATGGGTATGTTTGCACAGACCCAGTCTTGACTTAATCCAATTGTGTTCTCTTTTTACACAACCTTGTATGGATGATGGAGAGGGGATGGTGTCATGTCAGGAGCATCCTCGTCAGTGCTGTTTCCGGCTGCATGCCAGTCAGCCTTTTGCCAGGACCAGCTTGCAAAACATCCCGATGCAGAGGCTTATAGGGTCAGTGCTGTTTGTGTTGAGTGTTGCCGCACAGAAACCAATCCGGCGTTGAGCTTGTGCCGACGCTTGTTTGTGTCAGCAACTCAAGCGCGAGTACGAGAAGACACAAATGCGAGATTTGGACTTTGCTCGTCCCTCGGATTGTGTGGCGCAGGCTTACGTGTGTGCGCACGCCGCGACAGCCCGCTTGTCCCATAATCATGTTGAGCAAGGTCATCCGGGAATGTGAAGCACATATTGTCACACGCTTGAATGGGGACGGTGAGCTTTCTTGCCTTTGGCGAAGAAGCTGTTTCTTTATGCGCTTCACACACCGCTCTGAGAGATGTTGCGAGAAGCCAAGGCTTCGGAGAAAAATCGGATACGGGAGGCTCCAACTTGGCTTTGGAGTTGGAAACTGCGGAAACCGAAGCGATACTTGCTGCAGTCCGATTGAGGATGTCCGACGAAAGAAGCCGCCCCTCCCGATCCAAGTGAATGACAAGCTCGAGACTCATGGCACAGCATAATGCGGGATGGCACGGTATGCAGTCAATATGCACGACTCGTTGTCGATACTTTTTCTTCTTTGTTTAAGTATTCCCGTTTCTGTAGGCTGGCACAGATGAAGCGAGAAAGCTCTGCAACTGGCTTGGGACTGTAGCAAAAGCTTACGACCTGCCGGTGGGGGTAACCCTCCACTCAAGCTCCGATCTGGCGACACAGTGAGGCACTGATTCAACGTGCGGAAGCTTTAGATGATGACAAAGTCCGGGAGAAGGAAGAGTTGATCCAGCAGGCGCGTGGCGAGGGGGTTACATGCATGCAGGATGGCAATTTTCGTGCAGCTTCGACAAAAGGCAAATGATGTCTTGAAAGAACGTGGCGGCCACAGACCCTCTAAGGCGTGACAGCTTCAAAGGTTGGAGCACCCCTGTTCCTTTCCACAGGCGAATCGGTGTTAGAGGAAGAGACCAAGAGCCGCGGCAGCAATCAGTTGAATTTTATCAAGACATCGGCTCAGCGCACGGCATACGACGGGCTTGCTGTCTGTGTTTTCAGGAAGGCCATTGCCGCGTTGCCTCCACAGGTCCAGCAAACATGGCAGAAAATGACATAAGTCGTAAGTGATAGGCTTCAGCTTCTCGCCAATTGTTACACCGCTGTGGCTGCAGGAAGTATGCGAGGCTGGTCAGCCTGCATGGCCTAGATGTTCTTTCTCGGTGTATGCATCTGTCGAATCGAAGTCTTGTTCTCTTATGTGTTGGCGTGACGCAGCTAATTCGGCTCAGCGGCTTGCCTGCTTAATTGCACGAGCCACGTCCTGCTCCCAGTATGAAGGCAATTACGGATATCTTGAACCCTTCAGTTGGTCCGAACATCTCGAGCTTTGCTCACTCTCTCATGGCTGCTGCAGCGTCCCGGTCATGGAGCCATGGAGCTTCACAAGGCGCACGACCAGCCCTTCGCGGTTCCGGTCACGCGGCGCTCCCCGGAGTGGGGCTGGCTGGAATATCTTCTCCATGCAAGTTGAAGCTTGTCTTCATGGTACTACAAGCACGATGAGGGACTCCTGCCTGAATCTCAGAGCCTGCACGAGGTAGCACCTACAGGCTACGGCTCCGTTCCGCATGGTCAGTGGCCAACAAACGCCTCAACGTGGAGTTCGAGTCTCGATGCAAGGGGCACCTCGGCACCAAGAAGGCTTCGGCGTACGAAGGCCTCTAAGTGCAATAGCTCAGGTTGCTGCAGCTCCACGCTTGGCTACCGGTTGCCGAGATTCCGTTTGGACAGACGGTGGAGGAGCGGATACATGCGCAGCTCTCTGTGAAAATCGGATGGGGCAGAAAACCTTAAACCTTAAAGATTCACCCTGTAGAATCCAGAAAGCTTGCTTTAGTCTGTTTGTCTGCTAAAGTGTGGAGCTATGGGTTCGAAACTGAAGCTGCGCGTGGCTGCGGACAAGACTTGAATTGACGCTTGAAGACATGCATAGCACTGGGTTAGACGGTTAGGCTCTAAGACCTAATTGTTCGATTAGGTTGCCATCCTCGGCTTCTCGAGTTTGTATGTAGCAGGTCTAGTTGTCGAACATACCACAGATTGAGCCCTGGATTCATCTCGTTAGTTGAGGCTGAGACGCCTTTCTGGCAAAGTTGCATGGTCGGTCGAAGCATGAGAGCCTCGCGACAGTTTTGCAAAGCTGACTGCTCGAATCAATGCAAGAGCTGCCAGAGCTGCAGCCTCCAAGTGCCCAGCGAATTTGTAGTGTATTGCACGAAGTGCATAGAAACGACAACCGAGTGGTTGGGTCATTGCTGCATGCGTCCGCGATTCGTGGCTCGAGGGATCTCCCCAGGAGCCGAGCGGGACCATAGCGCACTCTCGGGTTTTAGGGGGCAAGGTTGCAGTTGATAGCCTGATTTTGTGTTGTGGCAATGGCAATCACTGATATTGCCGGTGCCCTTCCTGGGTGGGTCTTGATGATGATCTTCATGAAACGGTTTGGCTGAAGGGGTCTAGGGAAGGGTGCATTCTATTCGGATCCTGGCAGATGCCGTGAGGGCAGCCACAAATGTCACGCGCATTGCCACGCCTCCCGTGGCGTGGGTACTACACGCGAGCCCAGCTATGTGGCCCCGGGCCCATGAGGTCAAGTCAATGCAAAAATGCGTTGCTGTGGAGAGTGGCTCGAACATGGTCGTGGTAATCCTTCAGGTGGCGGCACAGGTGGGGTGCCCATCGGTAACGGCCGCCGCACATGCGGACTGAGGCCGAAATCCCAGCAAGCAGGCGGACATAGACGGGTAATTCAAGGTCCTCGAGAAATGCGCGGTCGACCACGTCAGAGAAGTGCAGGATCATGGACTTGGATATGTCCCTGTACGACTTTGCCTTATGTGTCAATTTTCAGGATCGGGTCTCTACATCTGTGTATCAAGACTTACATCCTCCAATCGGACTGTTCGTTCCGAGCCGTGGAGGTCCCCGCAGCCCCTCCTCGATGCCTGGCTATCATCGTGGAGCACTTTGGCGAACGGGGAAGGCGACTGTTGGGGTAAACACGCGGGGCGGCCTGGAGGCACGCGAACACCGAACACCCACGGTTGCTTTGCGTGGGTTGCGTGCTGAAAGTCAATTATGAGAGGCTGGAAGCTTTCTGCACGCTTGCTGCAGGTTAGACCTGGAATAGGACTAGGACATACAAGGTGGCAAGTAGTTGGCCCACGGTGTGTATTACACCGTGGTGTTTTCGGACTACGCAAGGTTTGGGGGGTGGGGGGGTAAGTGGGAGGGGGGGAGCACTTCGGACATCACCGTAGATCTCTCATCTAACCTTTTCCGATGTCCGGTGCGTTCAACTTGTCGATAACCTGCTGCTGCGAGCAGCCCAAGCTCTCTTACGTGACCGCCGCCTCGCAAGTCAAGATGCTCCTCGAGGTGTTTTGTCGGCCACTGGATGCCGCAGTGAAGGTTGTGATTATTTGCACATTTTTGACTTCAATGCCGATGGTATGGCATGGACGGCCTTCATGGGTTGGGCTTCACTATGTCACCCAGCATATAAAGATCTTCTGCAAGCGTCGTGTGAAGCCCGGCAGTGTCCTCCTCTCTTGTGTAAGTCAGGTGCGTGACAGGAGTTGGCAGAGCTTAAGGACGTTTTTGCCAAACAAACTGTCTGCAAAGCTCAAAGTGGATGGCCACAGTGCTCTGAATCCTGCTGCGCAACAGCAGTTGTTCATGTAGAACGCATCGCCTGGACCGTGCACGCCCAGGCAGTTCCTCGACACACCGGAAGGCCTTCCCTAAGAAACAAACTCTGGCGAGCCTTGTTTGTCTTGTATATAAGACCAGTGCATTCTCTGTTTTCAGAGTAGTTCTGGATAGATCGAAAATCATATTCGGTTCGTAAAAGCCATTAGAAAACACCGTACCCCCGTGTAAACGAGGGCAAGACCACGATTAATTTCCTCGGTGAGCAGATCCTCTGCAAAACCCACAAAAAACCGGCACAAGAATCATTGCGGCCAAGACACAGAGACTGTTTAGTACGCGGCGTAATACGAGCAGTTAGGTAGCCGGATGGTTGGATAGTTAGGTAGGTAAGCAGGCAGGTAGGCAAGTAATTAGTTGGTCAGCTTGCTGCAGCAGCACTTATGATGGGTGGATATGGTTGGTAGTTCTAGTAGAGGGATGTATTGTCGTGTCGTAGTCGTAGTCGCAGTC